GTCTTTTGTCTTATTGTCTCAATCTCTTGTGTATTATCCTTTTGGAAAACAAAATATGAGTTTTACAGATTTTAAATAAATTCTTATTACACTGCCAACAAATCCAATGACACTGTCTCACTTATTTTCTGCTAAAACATGTGTGCATATAGGTTTAGCCCCTGACAAAGCAGTTATGAATGATTTATTTTAAGGATTATGAGCACAATCTCCTTGCAACTTCTGTGTGGGCCATACCAAAATGAATGGGAATTACTTAATCCTTCTGGGCATTCATAATTCATGTCACTTAGCATATGTCAAGTCGTCTTCAGATACAGAAACTCCCTTTTACACACCTAACAAAAGTAAAACCATTATATTTAAGCTTGGCAACTCAGTCAGCTAGGGGTAGCACCAGTGTGCCAGTAGATACTTCTTTTTGTTGCCCCAAAGACTTTCTGCCTTTTTTTTTTAATTAAAAAAAGATTTTTATTTTTAAGGATTTATAAATAATGACTTTCTTAACAGGGAGCCTGGCATATTTCAAAGCAAAATGCTTCATTCCAGCACCATCTTTATTGGGGTTCAAAAGCCGGTTTGGGTTTGGGAATTCAGAGCATGCTTCTGGCTTAGACTTCGGTTCCTGGGCAAATTACTTGTTACTTAGTCTCACCATTTGTCTCCTGGAGAATGAAAGCTTCATAACTGGCCATATCCTCATTGTGGTAGCCATTTCACTCATAACACTCATCACCATTTTCTGATAGCACCCACAGCATTCCCTCAAAATTTCAAATGTGCATATTGACCCAAAAGGCTTGGATCTGTTCCAGTTTTTCTTAAGTGGGATCTCAGAACACATGCAGAGCCAGTGTGGTATAGTGAGGGTCTGGGACAGAGGCGATCTGGGTTCTAGTCCCCATCCAGCCACGTAGCCAACTGGGTGACTTTAGGCCAGCCACAGACTCACAGCCCAACACCATGGTTGTCATGGGGATAAGACTGAGAGCAGCAGGACAAGAAGGATATAAGCTGCTTTGCATTCTTTAAAAAAGAAAAAGGTGAGATATAGAGCTGATAAATAAAATATGTGGACATGCAGATAGGAGAATCTCATTTAATTTTTAAGAAGAAACATGTTTAGCCCCTAGAGCTGGAAAGATAGGCACGAAAGCATATGGAACCATGCTTGCTGAACTTGCAGTCACCTGGCTGGCTCTTGGCTCCTCCAAATGATGAGCAAAACCAGAGCACAGGAAGGAAAACAGGCTTTTAAAAAAATGAGAAAATGCGTATTTGCAACATGCATACAAGCAGCAGAACTCAACTAGCAAGCAGTTGCTTCTGCCAGGGAAGCATTTAATGCCTGATCCTTCTAATTGACGGTGGGTCTCTGCGTCAGGTAGGATTCTTCCCATTGTTACATGATGGGAATCACGATGGTGTGTTACAAGGGGAGGTGTGCAAAGAAGTGGACAAATCCATCTTTCAGGGCAGTTGGCTTGCCTGTGAAACTCCAAGAAATCACATAATTCCTAGAGATGCTCCTTGAAAACCACTGGTGTTGTGTCTCATTTCCATATCTGTTCTTGTCAGGCTCTCCAATCCACCGGCTTTCTGCTTTTGCTCTTGAATAAAATCAGACCCCTGCAACTGCACTGCTCTGCCCCCAAACCCATTTCTTTCCTGTTCAGCAGATGAGGGACACCTGAGGAGGAGCAAGTCTAAAATGGCACAAAGGGGGAAGGAGTAGGGAGAAAATTAGGTCCTTCTCTGCTTTGACTTGGCAAGGATTCACTGAAAACCAGGCTGCTGTGCAAGCAAACCAGGAAAGTCTGTGTTTTCTTTGAGTGCAGCCGGGGGTCAGACTAGATGGCCCAGGAGATCCCTTCTGACTCACTCAGTTTCTATGTTTCTATTCTTGGGCTGGAGCTGGCCTAAGAATTTCTGCCAGAAGCCCTGGATTAGGCAGGCAAAAATTACAAATACTGTTAGATATTTTGAAGCAGTAGAGTTGACTAAATGGGGAACAGCCTCTTCTGACAGCAAACATGTCTGGAATCATCAGTTCCTTGAAGAATTAAATACAGGCGGTTATTCAACTTCTGAAGTTTTGCTCTGAAGCCCAGCATGGAGCAGGAACCACATTCCTGGCTGTGCCTCAGCTACTGAAGGAACAAACAGTTATATTGCTCATCACCCCACATGCAGTCATTAAGAACAAGCAAACTGACCTGGATTCACACAGCTAGAATAACCTTTAATACAGCAAAGCCTTCAAGCAAACAGCTGTTCGAACTGGGCACATGTGCCTGCCCTGTCAAAATGATGCCATGGTATCACACATCACAGTCACAGCACAGTGCACTTTATAGCCCTGAAGGGAGCAGTCTGTTTGCTTCTCTCGCTTGAGAGAGGCCTGTCCCACAGCAAGGGGCAGGCATAAAACTCCTGTCCCTCAGTCTAGTAATCTTGCTTAGCTTCAGTTGTATGCACTGCTGTTAGACAAGGCTGCCCACAATGGCCAGAAATGTTACTGCAGGCTTCAGCCACACAGCAATGGTTACACTAGCTCTGCAGAGCAACCATATGGCCTGATTCTCAGCCAAAGGCTGAAAAATCTCCAGCCTTGGAGCGGGGAGTTGTGCTCAAATCCTCCTCTCCGCCATGGACAGCATGGAAAGAACCACATTGACTGTGTCTCCAGGGCTGCAGGTGAAGCAGGCTATTCTAGGGTATTGTGTTCTAGTTCCCACTTGACCATGAAGCTTTGCTTGGTGACCTTGGGCCAGTCAGACTCTCATCCTAGGCTGTTGTGAGGATAACATGGAGAGATGGAAGACTCTGTAAGCTGGCCTGGGTGCATCACAAGAGGAAAAAAGGAGCATGTAAACGTAAAAAATACAATACACACACTCTTTTACTATTACGTGAAAACAGGGGGAACCTTTCCTGCAGGGCACCAATACCCTGTACTTTTCAGGCAGACAGCTCTGGTACACCAGCTGTGGTATGCTAATGCCAGTAAGTGGTACTGGATAGAAAGCAGAGCTTGTTAGTAACCTCCATTTCTACCACTTTATAAACAGTGTGGGAAAGATTGTACAACCTGGTTTTATTTTCTGCACAATCAACTTTTAGTGTAGTGAGGGACTATTAAAGCCATTATTAAAGCATTCAGTGAAGGAAGCATTTCTTCTTGCTGTCAATAAGCAACTACTTAAGATGCACATTTCAATAAATGGTACTCAGTTATACAATTTATTTTGTTCGTATTGCAATTTTTAAAGAAGCCCATTGAATCACCATTATAATTTAAAAAAAATAACTTTTGACATAATGTAACAAGTCTCTGCTTGCTATAAGATTAGAAGAAGGCATCGACTTTTTTCTTCTCTGTTCAGTTGGACTCAATGTATAGTCTATTCGTATTCTAGAATAAGAGCATAGTAATTTTCCTGTGACTACCAGCAGGGCCTTCTCAATGGTGGCAGCCTAGCTGTGAGCTCTCCAAAAGGAAGACCTTGTTGTTGTTGTTAGTCGTGAAGTCGTGTCCGACCCATTGCGATCCCATGGACAACATTCCTCCAGGCCTTCCTGTCTTCCACTATCCCCCGGAGTCCACTCAAGCTCACACCAACTGCTTCAGTGACTCCATCTAGCCACCTCATCCTCTGCCGTCCCCTCCTTCTATTCTTCCGAGCATTAGGCTCTTCTCCAGGGACTCCTTCCTTCTCATTAGATGGCCAAAGTATTTGAGTTTCATCTTCAGCATCTGGCCTTCTAAAGAGCAGTCAGGGTTGATCTCCTCTAGGACTGACCGGTTTGATCGCCTTGCGGTCCAAGGGACTCGCAGGAGTCCCCTCCAGCACCACAATTCAAAGGCCTCAATCCTTTGGCGCTCAGCCTTCCTTATGGTCCAGCTTTCACAGCCATACATTGCAACTGGGAAAACCATAGCCTTGACTATACGCACTTTTGTTGGCAGGGTGATGTCTCTGCTTTTTAGTATGCTGTCTAGATTTGCCATAGCTTTCCTCCCCAGGAGCGTCTTTTAATTTCTTGGCTGCAGTCCCCGTATGCAGTGATCTTGGAGCCCAGGAAACTAAAATCTGTCACTAAAAAGGAAGACCTAGCAACTTTGTATTGTTTCTGGCAACAAGCGAAACCTTTTCTTTTCCCAGAATTTTAACAGTTTAACATTAAATTTTGTTTTTATATATTGCATTCCATTCTGTACTGCTGCTATGCTTTTATGCTGATTCAATTGCAATTGCTATTATAGGTTTGTTGTTTTAAGTTTTGTTTGTGTATGTCTTTTAAAAATTCTGGTTTAATTTTAACTTTTGTTAATTGCCCAAAGAAGCTTGGCAATTGGGAAGTATAAAAAGGAAATTAATTCAATAAAAATGTTTTTTACAAGACACTCGAGAAAGCTTTAGCTGGGGATTCCTTTATTAAAGGAACATGCTTCTAACATTTTATAAAGTTCTGAATTTCTGTTAAAGAGGAAGACAGATTTATATCATTTTTCTGGGAGTAATGCTGGAACTGGGGTGTTAGGCAGAGCTTAGCAAACTGGACCCAGGGCACTTTGGGGGAGTGCACAAGCCTAAAGCTCATTACAACAAAACCACATACTGCAGGTAATTCAGCAATGATTTGCTTCTTGATGTGTTTCTGAGTCACCATAAAGCCAGAATTTCCATGCAATATTTTAAAACACTTTTTTAAACAAAACCTAGATAACCTAAAGCCAGTGTGGTGTAGTGGTTAAGAGCATGGAACTGGGACTCGGACGATCTGGGTTCTAGTCCCCGCTCAGCCATGGAGCCAACTGGATGACTTTGGGCCAGTCACAGACTCTCAGCCCAACCTGCCTCACAGGGTTGTTGTTGTGGCGATAAGATGGAGGAGGAGAATGATGTAAGCTGTCTTGAGCCCTTTGTAGGAAAAAGGCAGGATATAAACCGAAAAATAAATAAATAAATAAATAAATAAAGGAAGGCTTTTAAAAATGTTTTTATGACAAAGTTTATTCATCTTATTTTTGGTTCATCATGATGCAGTAATGTCACTTAACCACTTTGGAAGATTTTATTTTCTTTATGTCAGAACTACGAAGAATCAGAGTCCCATTTTTAAACGTTCCAACCTGTCCTGTTGGCAATACTCTCTGCTTTGTTTTCTTCTTGGATTTTCTGTTTAAAAAAAAAACAAATATAATGAGATGCTAAAGACAAAAAAATTACCTTTCATAACTTTTTAGATTTTGCAAAATATATTTTAGATAGATTTATTTTCAATCAGAAGACACAATGAGGCTGGAATTACCTGTTCAAAAAGCAGAAAGGATATGCAGAAAACATGTTCTCACAGTTTCATACTGAAGAGTCTGAAGCAACATGTTCAAAAATTCTGTTCTATTTTGATACTCAGGACTTCAAGACAAACCGAGGTCAGGAGACAATGAACAAAGCAACAGGTCTCAGTACCCATGGAGACTTCATGCTTGTGTTTTGCAAAAAATATTTGTGTATGTAACATGGCAAATCCAGTTCTGAAACTGCATGGACTTTCTAAAGCAGATTGAAGTATGGCTGCCGTTTTGCATGCAGTGATAAGCCACAGTTTAACACTATGTGTAAGAGAAGCAGAAAAACTTCCATTTATACACTCCCTTCCCTCTTTTGCTGCTGTCAAAAGATTCCACTTCCACTTAGGGGCCTCTCCGTTACATCCTGATACATGGAATTCTGGTTTGTCTGAAAAAAATGGCCTGTTAACAAGCCAGGCTCATAAACTTTGGTTTGCTCTTGGCTTGTCCAAACAGAGTTCTCTCAAGCTTAGTTTAAAGCAGAAGTTAAAACTTCTTATCCCTTTCTTACAGGTAGACCTGGGGTGACATGGGATTGGGCAGGGCACAAATCTAAAGCTTATTCCCACCCAAAACTATATCTAAGATTTAGGTGTGAAATAGGTCAACAATGCACAAGGCCCATTTTAACAAACTGTTTACACTTGCAATTATTTCTTTAGCAAATTTATGAAAAAAAAATCCAGTTTGTTACTACTGATTTAGTAACAGTAAATTACTACTGTTTACTGATTTACCACTGGCACCAAGTTTATACTTTTTTTGGCACCAGGCCAAACCCTTTTTATTTAAACAGTATTTTAAACTTAAATAGTTTTTAGGTTTAGTTACTCTGTTTCGTTTATTGTTCTGTTTTTTAATTAAAATTGTTGTTTTAATTGTCCTTTTAAATATTGTAAGCTGTCCTGAGATCTTGTGTAATAGGATGGCATACAAAAGCTTTTAATAAATAAATAAATAAATTTATGTAGATCAGTAAATATTGGCTCACCTCTCTTCATGCCCTTTTTTCTTCCTTCTCTTAAAAGACTCAGATTTCTTTTCCTGTTAATGAAATGCAACAAGAGTAACTCAGTGCCTAGCCATTTCTTTTTTGAGTCAAGCAAGACATGGCTCCCAAATGTAACAGGAATGGATCAGTCATCCAACAAGGTACAAACAAATCATGCAGCCAGGGTTTCTGCACTTGGAAAATTTGCAGAGGTTAGCAAACCTGCTGTTCTGCTGAAGGTTTTCTAGAGTGCCCATCCTCGTGGAAATCTGAAATTTTGCCCAGCAAAAGGTTGCATTTTACTTTAATAGAGAATATTTCATACGAACCATCACATTTTCTTCCTTCTTCACGGCTTTCTTTTCTTTGATCTTCTCCTGAAGAATCTTGTAGTTCAAATATTCCTTTTTGGGGGGCTGCAATGATAGTTTCAAAATAATTTCATTATTTTTTTCAATAACATGGAAATGAATATAAAAGTCAAAAGCAGCCCAAAGAAGAAAGTAGCAACATCCTTGTGTAATGAAGGGGTCTGTGCTTCTTTAAAATATCATTAAAACAATCCATTAGCTGTGTCTTTTTGAAGTGCTCCATGTGTGACTTTGGTTTGCAATTGCCAAACCATTTTGACTTATTTGACTAATGCCTATAAGATTCTTTCGAAAAAATCTGGTTGGGAACCATTCTGTCAGTACTGAGAAAAAAGTTCTCATTTTAGAAACTAAGGTCTTGCTGACTATGAAAATTCCAGCAAGACCAACCCTTTATTTGAACCAGGGATTACATAGGGCAGAACCCAAAAATGTGCTTGAAAACAGTGTATCTGAGCACCTGCAGAGCACCTTTCCTGCACCACCAAAGACTACGAATTAATGCCACTGAAGATGAAGGCCTGCAAGTTCCTGTCAAACAGTCGTGGGGATATGAAGGAGCGGCAGATGCAGAAAGGAGAAGCAAACAAACCTTTTCCTCACTCACCACTACCCACTGCAGCAAAAATGGCTGCGGTGAAAGGCTGACAGAGGGGAGATTTAACACTCACCCTGCCACACATTTCCTCCCTGGAAAATCTCTACAACCATCTCATCACTTTTCTGCTGTTTGGCAGTGGCTTCTGTTCACGGCCACGGGGTCAGGAGTACAGAAAGCTGGCTTGCACTGAGTCAAACCGCAGAGTCCGTATAGGCTGGTCAGCGCTGACGGAGGCTCTCCAGCGTTTCAGGCTGGATTCTTTCCCAACCCGCCTGAGATCCTGGGGATGGAGCTGGGATCTTCTACACACAGAGCAGGTGCTTTGCCACTGAGCTATAGCTTCTCACACTGCCACACCACATTCTCCCCAAGTAATGGCAGAGATTGGAAAAAAAATCCTTATTGGTTCTTTTGCAGATCACTGCTCAACAGAGGAAAATGGACAGTACCTTTGCCCCAAGCATGATAGCACGTTCTTGCTCCAAAATACGCTGTTCTTTTTTCCCAAATCCAGTGATCCCAAGCTGATGCACTTCCAAACGGGACTAAGACATTGTAAAACAGTTAACATAATTAAAAAGCGAACAAAGCAATTTTTTAAGTGGAAACATATGATGGGCATGATGTGATTGTTTCCCCATAGGAAAGGTTGTCAACACTTGAATATAAACATGAAATGGAACCAAACATTTATATCATATGAAGTCCTGATGGGGCTTTCACCTGGACCACTGCAAAACACTATTGGCATTTTTCTTCTTGAGATAAGAAGAAACAGCTTTTTTCCTCTAGCATCTTTTTATTTGGGGTGAAGAAGAAAAACATCTTGCCACCAGAAAGTACTTGATTGCACATATATGCACAAGATCAGGGCTATTATAAGAAACTGCCTTGCACCAGGTCAGGGTTTTGTTCTTCTAGCCCTCAGAAAATGCTGTTTCTAGTCCTCTCTCAGCCATGGAGCTTACTTTGAGTGAGTTTGGGCCAGTGTAACCTAACTCACAGGGATCTTGTGAGTACAAAATGGAAAAGGAGATTTCTGTCAGCCACCTTGGGTTCCTTGCAGGAAAAAGTGGACAATAAATAAAATCAATACATTAATTAATACTGACCAGCAGTGGCTCTCCAGAATTTTAGGCAGGGTAGGTCTTCTCCATCACCTACTACTTGATACTTTCTAACACAGATGCTAAAGTGAATTTAGAACCTTTTGCATGGAAGGCACATGCTCTACTGTGAGAAGGGGAAGAAAGGGATAGGGTCCACATTTGTGCATCTGGAAACATCTATGGGGTTAAATCACACACTGAGTTTCCACCCATTTTAGGCAGAGACCTGTCCTCCCACCACATCAAAATCCAGCTCTAGGGCAAAGGTTGCCTTAGAACACCATCCCAGCTGGTATGAGGCAGGAACAGACAACTGCCAGGGGAAGCATAGAACTTCTCTCACCCAGGCAGTGTGCCCTGATGGGCTGAAGATCCTAAACTAATGCAGTGCATACTGTCTGTGCTTGACTCTCCGTATCTGAGGAAAAGAAAATGCTCTGGACACACTCTTTCTTTCCTTAGGGTCCTTTTCCCAGAGATCCTATCATCTCACAACATACCGTGTGTCTCTTTCCTCTCCTCTTTCTGTTCGGCTGGACCCAGGATAGTGACGTGTATGAGTGTTGCCAGTACATAATTTTCCTTTGGCTACAACCTTCTGCACACTTCCCTTGGAAGAAGGCTATTGAACACAGTAGAGCTTACTCCTAAGCAGCCATGAATAAGATTGTGCTGTATTTCCCTTTCCTTTCTATTTCCAGAGACCTTTTCGTCATGGGTTTCTTTTGCAAGACTCCGACTGTGTGCATCCCATTTCCATAAGTCACATTTGTGTATTTATTTACTTATTAAAACATTTTTATGCCGCCCCATTCGCCAAAGCCTCGGGGCGGTTTACATCACTAAGTTAAAATAATTATAATATAAATTAAAAATATAAACATTAAATTAAACATACAACAATACAGTATAAAATAAGCCGCCCTGGCCAGATAAAATCCAATAACTTTAACAGTTAGAATGCTGCTTGTATCCCACACACATCCCCTGGAAATCAATAGGAAAACAGCAAAATCAATCTGGATGATACAGGGAAATAATGTGGCAAGGGAAGGAGTGCTGGACCTCTTTCAGGCTAAGGTCCAAATTCAATTTTGGAGAAACAAACTGAGGCTATTATTTCAGGGGTAGGCAGGGCTGAATGCAAAAGGGATGTGGCCAAACCCCCAAAATGTCAGCTTAAATCTCTTAAGGCTAGCGACTATGCGTTGAGAGGTGATTTGGAATGAGGAGAATACCAAACAATTGGCAGTTGAAAAAATGGGGAGGGGGGGCATTTGGGGAAGGCCAGATGGGCACTCCAGATGGGATGGCTTTGGCCTACAGCTCTATAGAAGAGAAAGTTTCCAAGTGCATATGCCCTATGTTCCAGTTTGGAAGGATCAATTAATTTTCTTCTTGATGTTCTCTCACTATAAACATTTAACAAAGCAGAACCTTCATAGCCAACCAAGTTTTACCAGAAGCTATCAAAATTCTGCACCTCTTGAAGACAGGCAAGGACAGAATTAGTAGTAGGCACTGAATTCTGGAATGCTCAATCTGCAGTCTCTCTGAGACATCAACAACCCTCACGCCTTTAAAGTTTTAACAAATAAAATAACTTACTTTTTCCAAGTTGAATTGTTGGCCATTCACATGCTTCTTTTGATCAGTATGTTTAGCCTATACACATATTTAAAAAACACAAAGAGTATTTTGTAAAAATGGGTAGTCAAGAGATTTCAGATTTAAAGCCTAAGCAAAAATCCATTTTTATGAGCCACAAGATTTTGAAGGGAAGACAATATTTACAATATTAGGATTTTGCCTGAGGAGACACACACAGAATTGTGCTGCAAACCTAAAATGGGACATACATGAAAACTAATTCCCATTTTTTTAAAATATTTCCTTTTTTTTTTGAATGTCCAGCCCACGGGCTTTTCTTCTCTTTGAAATCAGTAATAGTGAATCTACTTAAAAGTGACAGAACTCTCATATCTTTTGGTATTGTCCAAATATTGTGAACTTGAAGATCATGATCCTATCTTTAGACAAGAAATAGGCCTACAACTCCCAGCATGTCTCAGTGAAGAGCTACAGGATTCTTTCTATCTACATGTGCATAGGATTATGTCCTAAGATCCTATGAAAGGATACTGGAAACATTAATGAACAATCAATGAAATGACAGAATATCATCTGTCTTGTATGGCAAATGATACGTGAAGATGGGGTAATGGCCATTAATTTGCTAAAGGCCACTATAATTACAGTCAGTTTTCACACTGACTGAGTGGATGCAAAAAAGACATTCTGTCTATGAGAGAGTGACAATGAAGATCTGAAACTGGTAATTACATGGAAACTCACAATATTATTAAAATTAGACAAACAGAAAGAAAAGCATTTTTATTTTAAAAATTGGTCTATTTCTGGACTAATAAAAGAACAAGACAAAGCAGAACTTATCTATTGGGAACAGGAAGGGGGAAGCCTATATTTATCTTAATATAATATAATACAAGTATCAGTCATGTAACACAACATAAGTATCAATCATGGCACTGCCTAAAGAAAATTTCAAGCTGGCACAAAGCCTAACCCATCTGATAACAATCCTGATCAGACAGGAAAGCAGAACACTGTAAAAGAATCTGGTAATTACGATAAATAACTCAGCAGAATTAGAAAACAGATACTGGCCTGGTTTGGATGTAGTGATAAGGAATGAATTTGTTGCTTATGAACCTCAGGCTTATGCACTTCTTCTTTAGTTTTCCTCCTCTACTACAGCCAGGAAAAATTTTCTTCCAATTTCACTTGAGCAATTAAGTCTACCATCTTAGGTCTTTGCCCAAACCCAAAGCTGTGATTCATCTTACATATTCTTAGCTGAAAAATACTGGCATTGTTATTTTCTACTGCACTTTGTTGTTTTGCTTGTCATTTCGCCGTATCTTTCTTCTTCTCTCATCTATTCTCATTCTTCAGCATTTCCTAATTTTATTTAGCTCCAACTCCTCTTCTTTTTATCGATATGAGGGAGTTGGTAATCCTTCTTAATTCTGTGAACCGTTAAACTTGGGAGATGCTGTAGTGACTAAGCTGGCTCAAGTTAAAAAAGAAAGACAGAAAGGAACACCACAGCACCCATCAACATGTGTAACATTGTTTTCCTATAGGATTTCAACTGTTATTCCAGTCAAATTCCATTCTATTTTTGAACGTGCTCCTTGCAACATTCACATGTCAACCAGCAGTGCAGGAGCCTAAGTCTTTGTCTACACAACTTGCCTTTACACCACAGGAAGATAGTTTAATCCTAGTAATTACATACATTCTGTTCCTACTTAATTCTTGAGCAAAGCTGGTACCTGGAAATCCAACAGCAGTTATGACATACCACTTCTCCGAACAAGTCCCAACCCAGTTGTCTAATATGTAGGTTCTATGTTTCAAATTGGAGCTAAAAGTGGGTTCTACCACATGAAAGACTGAAAGCCTCAGAAGCATTAGACCAGCTTTTGCCAACTGGATACCTTCCAGATGTGTTGGATGGCAACTCCCATCTTACCTAGCCAGCATGGTCTTCAGTGCATTAGTTACAAATGAAAGGTATGGGTGGAACTAGACTGTCTAACATAGCTTTCCCCAATGTGGTGGCTTCCAGAAATGTTGAACTACAACTTACCATGCCCTGCCAGCATGACCACTGGCTGGGAATGATAAAATTGTGGTCCAACACATACACACATAGCAGACCCTCGGGTGAGGAAGGCTGGTGTAACAGAATCAGTTCTAGCCAAGGATTAGACTCCACATTGACCACAGCAGCTTTGAGGGGGGCCATACAGTTGCTACTCTGAGATAATGCAACACCTAATAACACAGTGAACATAGGAATTAAAATGCCTATTTGGTTTAATTGAATGTAAAATATAACCTGATCAACCATTCAAGGATGTGATTCTGACAGCAAAAGTTAAACCATTTCTTACTGAGTAAACTTGCCCAGGACCACACTGTTGGACAACTTGCAAACAGCCAGCTCACACATCAGTTGAATAAAAATTACCTCCAGGTAGCCAGATAGAGTAGCTTCTGCAAAATAAAAGTGGTGGCACTTGTTTGGCCACCAACATGCCACAGAGGAATATGTGAGCCGGCAGACTAGTAACTCCTTGGAATTTGTTTCCATTTTTTTAAAAGCCACATTACCTACTGCATTATCTGCTTCTGTGCACAGTTTGACTTGAATCCGATCAACTTACCGTGGAGCCACCATCTTCAGCCATTTCAAGTTTCACTTTCTTCTTTCGATGATGACCACAGAATGTGACAACTTCAACCTCTGTTGTGTTTCCCTGCTGAACAAGTTTAGGTGAGGAAACATCAGAGGGGCAAGTTTTTATGACAGACTTTTTCTGATTCATACAGTCATACGTTAGTTCATCTTTCAGGCTGTCAAAGAAGTTGGAGAAATTCTTCCTCTTGGCTGGAATTACAGATTCAGATTCAGAATCCACACCTTTATCTTCTGATAAAGTATTTCTGGCTGACACTGCTAACTTGTCTTTCAGATGTTTCTTTTTGCTCTTTTTCTTTCCATCTGGTAATGATTCACCTATGATTTAAAAACAAACACTTGTTTTTCTCCTCATTTAAGTAAAACCAGAATATTGGATACCATATCATTTTTAAAATTCAGAATGTATGTGACATCTTACTTTCGAAATGTTCAAATAGTGTATCAGCAATGCAGGAAACATAAACAAAATATCTCCCTACTGGTATACATGGATAGGGTTGTGAAGAAATATATAACAATGCTACTCCTGATGCTTTGTTTAAAGTGTAATCTCATGCATTCTAATTTGTTTAAAGTGTGATCCCATTCATGTTAACTTGGGGGAAAAGATCACTGAATTCACAAGGCTTTAGTTCCTATAAGTAGGTAATACTAGATCTGGAATGTCTAATCTTTCAGACAAAGCTGACTGACTCACTGGTGTTCAGGATGGCCTTAAATAGCAATATCTCTTATTTTCATTTCCCCAACTATTCACTGGGAATAATGCTCTTTTTCACAGGGATGTCACAAGGCGCACATGAAATTATAATCCAGTTTTCCCAAAGCAGTGGTTCTTCTGATGTTTCAGCTTTGTGGCACTCTTGAGGAACATGGCTGATGGGGCCTAGCACATGTGGCAAGACCTTTTTATAGCCAGCACCCCCACTAACTGGAACTTTCTTCCAGTATTGATTCAGCCATTCCTTGTGCTGATATTTGGCTGCCAGTTAAATACTATTTTTGCAAACTTTTGAGGTATAGGTAAGTGTTTTATTGTACTGATGGCTCTGTTATATTTTATTGCACATTTGTGATTTTACACTAGTCATTATTTTAGAGCCTTGACTACCATCAATTTCCATTTCCCAGCAGAGAAGACCATTTCAGTGTTGGTCCTGCACCTCTGGAATCTGCTTCCATCAGACGTTCATCTGGCCCCGTCTTTGGAAGTCTTCAGGAAAACTCTGAAAACTTACTTGCTTCCATTATCTGTAGGTTGCAGATTTCAGTGGTATGATTTGATTTAATACTGCTTTATATTGTTTTTTTGCATATTTATTTCTTGCCTATTTGCATATTTTGAGTGTGTTTCTGAACTTGTACTCCACCTTGCCAGGGTGTTAACCCTCAAGGTGGTCTAAAAATTATTTTAAATACAATAGACATAAATATATTATTGTAGTTGATGTGGTCTACAAATAAAGCCAGTGCTTTTCCCAGAAGCAAAAATGACAAATCTGAGGCTGTCATATTTGGACACATCATGAGAAGGGAAGCCACACTGGAGAAGACAATCATGCTAGGGAAAGTCAAAGGCAGAAGAAGAAAAGGAAGATCAAATGTGAAATGGACTGAATCCATAAAGGCAGCTACAGCCTTGAACTTGGAACAGTACTCCAGGACAGTACATTTTGGAGGGTTTTCATTCATAAGGTCGCCATAAGTTGGAGATGACTTGACAGCACATAATAACAACCACCTTAGTTCATATAGCTTGTTAAGCACCCTCGGTTCTTTTCTCTATAAAGGGCAGGATATAAAACGGAAACAAAAATCGCAGCAATGAGACCACACGCAGCAACGACATGGAAACAAATTTTAGCCGGTCGCCACCCGTGAGGAACAACTAGTGCGGGATTTGACGCCAATGAAGGGCTTCCCGGACAGGAATCCTGTAACGTCTGAGAGACCGTGACCTGAAGGAACAGCAGCCAGAAAGAGGGAGGCCGGGGTGGGAGCCAAGAGGGCTTACACGCACCGAAGTCATACAGGGAGCTCAAGACGGTGTCCAGAAGACGGCTTGCGACGGCGGAATTCTCTCTCTCCGCCACACGCCCCAACTCCTCCTCCTCCTCTTCTTTTTCCTCCTCCTCCTCCTCCTCCGGCAAAGGGTCCGCACCCGCGATTTTCACCATGCTATAGTCCTCCTCCGGTTCCTCGCTCGTCCACACCATCCGTCCGAGGGCAGTCGACCGAAGCACTACGCACAGAAGTTTGGCTCCGCGCGACCACCGTCTCCAGCAAGATGGCGGCGCCCACAAGGCACTTCCGCCCCTCCCCCACGACTGTCCTGGCTGACAGACTGCCTCCTTCGGGCTTGGCTTGAAGAGCAGGGAGGCAAAGAGACGGGGAAGCGGGGGCAGGTTAATGGGAGTTGCGCGCCCTCGGCGAGCTAGGGCGGAGTGACTGCAGCCAGGCACAAGTAGAAGTAGCTGGCGATGATGGCAGCGGCAGCGGTGGCCGTCCGGCGAGGCCCCCCCGTCTATTCGGTAGGTGCCTGCTGCCCGTTAGGGGCGGGGTCCGTAGTTCCTCAGGCGGTGCCGGGAACTGCGGACCATGGAAGGAACGTGCCGCAGAAGTCGCCGTTGCTTTGGGTGGGAAACGGTCTGCGCTCTCTCGAAAGCCCCGTAGCACAGATGGCAGCCGGGGGGGGGGGGGGGACGCTTGCCTCTATGGGGTGGAGACAGCGTGTCTCTGTCCCTTGACATCTCTACGAGTACGCGTTGGGAAGCCATCTCTTCTTTATGGGCAGGGAATGCATGTAAAACATGCCTAGCAGGTAGTTATTCAGTAGGCGTAATGCACCTTCTTCTGGCATGGAAACTTGGGGAAGCTGCACCTGCTGTGTTGCAGCCTGTCTGGTAGCTGTCAAAAAGCACAGAGCCAGACTTCATCAGCGGGTGGTTCCCCCAAAGTTGCGGAGTCCAGAGGTAGTATCGAATGTTAATAGGCCCATTGAAATGAACAGGACTTACTATATAGGATTGGATAGAAGCCATGTGCTAAGCATGCTTCTTGGGCATATACATTCATGTGTTTTGATGTGTGCTGGATCTCAAGTATTCAGGTCCTGTTCACTGAACTTATGGATGGTGGTTGGTGTGGCAAGTACACATTTTATCTGGGGAATGCGTGTAACAGTGGTTTTAAAACATTGATAGGTGATAACATGGCAGTTTGAAATTAATGACCTCTATGCATATGTTCTTGACTTCTGGGTGGGGTTCTTGGGATTAAACACCATTGAACTGTGATTTAGCTTTCTTCCCATGATCCAGTGCAAATCCTGTGTTCTTTTTGTCATTTGTTCAAAGGAGTATGTGTAACTTTGGTCCAGTCTTGTGCCTGGTATAAAACTTAAGCTGTAACTGCTTGGTATAGTGCATTAATTCCACAATAATGCTTGTATAATAGCAAATGCCTTTCTGATCATGAAGTCTAGAAGAACTGAATACTACTTGCTTTTAGAGGGTTGTGAAGAATAGTATTTTAGAAAGCAGCAATGTTCTCTTCTTTGTATATTGCTGCAGGAGATAAATAGTTTCTTAGGGTATAGTTGTTTTGCAGCAAGTTCACTTTTCACTCAGTATTGTTTGAGTTTGAGTGGGCTCATTACAACACTGTAAATATTTGGTTTATCAAGAAATTAAAAATGTTTTACTGGAGGAGGAGGAGCTGTGTGTCCACTCTGATGTTTATGATTGGTAGATATCCTAAGCTGTAAGAGAGTACTACCAACCATACCTCAGAAATAATTTAAGATAGGAAAGGATGGGTTTTAACAAGATAGATCTGTGTGATCATAAAAGAATCTGTAGCATCTGAGAAAGTTTAAGCTCTTCACAGCTGTATTTCTTTGAAACTGAATTTTTCAATTATAGATGCCATTTTTAAAGTGTGTGCTAAACATCTCTTACTGCAGTATCAAAAGAAATTCTTAACAAAAATGAAGTTGCAGAGGTGGTGTCCTAGAACAGAGAAATTAATGCCTATGGTTTGAGCAGTAGCAAATGTTGATTTAAAGCAACATTTCTGCACAGCATCAGCTTTGTTCTGCTCTCATATTAATGGGAATATGAGGGTGATTTAACTGACTAGTCAGGCAGCCTCACTTGTGCAAATCTTCCATTCTCTTATAGAGAGCCAGTGGGACATAGTGGTTAGATTATTGGACTGGGACTTCAGAGCTCTAGATTCTAGACTCACCTTGGCTGACTAGGTGAATTTGGACCAGTCTAACCTATCTCACAAGGCTGTCATGAGGATAAAGTGAACGATTATGTAAGTCATTTTGGGTTCCTTGTAGGAACATAGGCAGTAAAAACTATAATAAAATAATTATATAAATAATTATAGTCTTGGCCTGTGTTTTATACTGGAGACTTCTTTCTCTCTCCTTCAGAGAAGCAAAGCAATAGGTCTAAGAGGTTTTACTGTATTTCATTCCAGTGGAAAATTTGTATGTCCTGCAGATCTCTTTGTGGAGAACACCAGTTGTTCAAGCAAGGGCTGAATGCAGTACCACTCCATCCTAACCATTCACCTCCAGTGCTAGCATATAAGTTCACACTGCTGCAAATGACAGGATTACTCTATGTGCTGTATGTGCATCTCCCATCAGAGAAGGCCTTGTGCAGTGAAACTGCTTGGCCAGCTCCATGCCTTCCTCTATAGGGAAGAGCACACAGAAGAGTGAAACTGATACTGCCCCCCTCCCCAAAGAGGCTTAGGCTCTCTCTGTTGGCTCTTCCCCTCTACAAGCACTACCCCCTGCCCCAGAGGCTGGCTTAGTGAGCTGGTAGGCAAAGGCTCAATGCTCAGAGTTAAGGGGATTTTTCTGTACCCCTTGCACCCTCCATTGAGAAAAGGAGCAGCAAACAGGTGAATTATCTTCTTTTCTTCAATCAGAGATTCTCTGTCTGGCTCCTCAGAAAGCTACTTCCTGCAGCCTCCAGGGGAAAGAGTGGGTCTTGTGGAGAGGAGAAGCCCATGGAGAGGGTCTTAACCTCTACAGGCCAAACAAAGGGCAGAGGTGAAACTGATTAGGCCTATGGGTTGGAGGTTGCCCTGCCCTACTGCAAAGCCCTCTTTGATGAAAGCTAAAGGCTCGTGACTTAGTGAGATGATACTGAACATTCTGGCTCATTCTACCAAGGGAACAACTGCCAGGATGTTTGCAGAAGAGATAGAGAATTGAGGAATGAGGGTCTGAAGAAAGCCCATAGTGCTTAAAGTCAGCAAGGCCTTTATGCTATGCTGTGGAGAGAGACACGTATTTTAGAGACTGGTCAAGAGAGAGAGACTGCCTAAAGGACATGGGACAAAGTTGACACTGGGCAGAAAAAGAAACGCTATTGGCAGTGGAGAGATGGAATTGGAGAAGGGAGGGCAAAGGTAAAGCAGGAGGGGTAGGCACTGTTGGCAAGAAGAAAGTGGACAGGCAAGGGAGGATTGAGGGTTGAGAGAGCCAAAGTGGCATGAGATAGTTGCTTGGTGTAGAGTATAGTCAGGTCTTTCTCAACATGGTGACCTCCAAATGTTTTGGACTTGAAACTCTTTTCATTCCCAGCCAGGATGATCAATGGTCAGGAATTCTGGGAGCTGCGGTTAAAAGTATTCGGAAGGTGCCAGCTTACAGAAGTCTGGTGCTCTTTTAAGATTTGAATAGAAGGACAATGTTTTCAAATTGTGCCTTCTATGGTCATGACAGCATTTTGACTTGGTTGTCTTACAGGCAATAAATACCAAGAAACTGGGGGATGAGGAGGGTAACTTAATTTATCATAGTGATTGGAACTATCCAGCCAGTTCCTTGGCTGCTAGCCAGTAAAATGCTGATAAACTTGCAGATGCCAAGGTAGAGTGCTAACAAACTGGCCTGATGATAGGATACCCTCTTTGCAAAGGTTAAAGGGAACAGGTTCATGTTCTAGGAATACCTTGGATCTAAACTGCAAGATTTGCATTGATTTGCAGTTTTAAAATATGCATGTCCTGCCTAAGAGGCTCAATGGAAAGAGCCATACTATAATTTTAAGCAATCATATAAAGAAACGAGCATCACAGCAAAGAAACAGCAGCATTAAAAACCCAGGACACTAGGGATAAAAAATCCTTGGTGGGAACTATTTAAGATCTAACCAAGTTTGAGGTATGCTGAAACAAAACGTATCTATTTATTTAAGGCTTTTATAGGCTGCCCATCTATTAGCGTCTTGGGACAGTTTACAGCAAAGCAACTGTAAAATAGGGCACAGCATCCAATAATTCAATATTATAAAAACCACATTAAAACCAATTAAACATTAAAATAATGGAAAAGTAGAAATGTTTTTGACTGGTGTCCAAATGTCATTTAAGAGAATTGATCTGACCTCCTGGGGCAGAGGGTTACATGGTCATGATGCAACAGTAGAGATGGTCTCAAACCCTGAATGATTTTAAAGCTTATATCTGAGCAGTTTGGGCTCAGAAAAGAACTGTGAGCCAGTGAGTTGCTCTAGCATAGGTTAACCTTCTAGATGTTTGGTACTAGAACTCCCAGCATGCTTGACCAAAATGGCCATGCTTGCTTAGATTGATGGGAGTCCAAGTCCAAAACATTTAGATTGGCATCATGTTGGGGATGGCAGTCAAACTGGCCCTGGTTAACAATGTAGCTGTCATATTTTGAATAAGTGGAAGTTTCGAACACTTTTCAACAATGGTCAGGGGTAGAAGATATTACAGTATGTAATTAAAACAAAAGTGGCCATGCGTCCAGTGCAACCCAGTGACTGTTTTTGTCTGTCTAGATTTAGTGTCAGGGAGGGAAGGGGGTGGGACAATGAGGAATTTGCATACGGTAACAGTCCCACCCTTTTCCTCTCCCTGCCCCCTAGCATGCTCCTTTTTGTTGTCTCCAAGGCTCAGTTGTGTCCTCAAAGAGGGCAGCTGGTGCAGTTCTTTCTGTACTGGCTGTGAGGCGGCAGGGTGGAGGTTAGGCCTTCAGAATCCCAGCTCCAACAGGATCTTGGAGTTGGCATTGTGAGAAACCTGATGCCCACCTACCCCGAGAAAACATCAGGGGGCAATAATATAACATGCATAGTGTATTATGACAAGCTCTCTTTGGATCCACGCTATCTTGTGCCTTCCAGACATGTTTAGACTGCAACACTCAGAATTCCCAGTCAGTGGCCCTGCCGGATGGGAATTCTGGGAGTTGTGGTTGAAATGCGTCTGAAGGCCACCAGGCTGAGCTACGGTAATGAATGGAACTGTGCATTATGACCATATTATTGCTGACATTGTATCTTCCTTATTGGTTCCCGGTTAGTTTCCAGGCCCAATGAGACACACTCATGTTAACTCGCAAAGCTTCTTCACAGCCAGGGATCACAGGATTCAAAGGACTGCCTCTTCATAGTCTTGATATCATAACCTGAGGCTCTGGTTTGAGTGCCCCTGCATGTTGAGATCTGATGAGTATGCTTTTCTGTGGTGGCTT